TGAACTACTTACAAATCCAAGTGTTATTTTTCTTGATGGTAAGTAGTAAATATGAAATAATTTGATTATCAGTGTTATATTATATTATATAATATAGAACCAACATCTGGTTTGGACAGTACATCAGCTGTATCATTGATAGATGTTCTTCGTGAATTAGCAATAGCAGGTAAAACAGTTATCACATCTATCCATCAGCCATCATCACAAATATTTCAATCATTTGATCAACTAATTTTATTAGCTGATGGGAAAAATATTTTTATGGTAAGTAGATAGACTAAATTTAGTATTTTGTTATGTTGAAAATAATTATGTCTTTATTTATGAATAGGGTAAACCATCGAATGCTCTTGATTATTTTGCAACAATGGGTCATCACTCACCTGAACAGTATAATCCAGCAGATTATGTGATGGATCTTGTCAATCAAGATATGAAGATTCGTGAAGAACTAAAAGAAGCATACCTTCAGAATCGAATGATCGAAGGTCAACCACGACCATCGAACATTGGAACTCAATATTTAGTAGCTGAACCATCTGGAAAAGAATCAGATTTGACAAATCCAGATAATGTAAATTTGATTCCAGATAAACATGAAGGAAAATGGCCAATAGGATTTCTTGCACAAATGTTAATTCTCTTCTCACGTAGTTTTCGATTAACTGGAAAAGCACAATTTACATTTCTCAATTTTGCACAAGCATTAAGTCTTGCTGTTATCTGTGGTCTATGTTGGTTACAAATGGATTATACTGAAGATACGATACCTGATCGATCATCATTCATATTTTTTATCATGACATTCTGGCCATTTCAAACATTAATGATGGGTTTATTATCCTTTCCCTTCGAACGTTCTGTGATTGATAAAGAACGAGCTAGTGGATCATTTCGTTTATCAGCTTATTTTATTGGGAAATCACTTGCTGAAGCACCATTGAAATTAGTTCTTCCAACATGTTTTTTAATAATTGCTTATTGGATGGCAAGAATTAATAACAATTTTGCAATCTTTCTTGCCATTTTAGTATTTCAACTCTTATCAATTCTTGTCGCTGAATCCGTTGGTTTGTTTTTGGGTGCATCATTCAGAAATCTTCATCATGCAATTACAGCTGCTACAGTTCTTCTTATTACTTTGATGTTGGTTGGTGGCTTTTTTATCAAGAATTTACCTCATTGGTTAGATGTATGGACTCCATGGTTATCATTATTTAGATATGCTTACAGTGCATGTATTCGATTACAATTTAAAGGTGGACAAGTATTTCGATGTGTTGATGGATCTTATGTTGATGTGTGCCGAAATAATCCAAATGGTACATTTCATGGTTCTGATGCTCTTCGATATTTCACTATTGGTCTTGATATCGGTTGGGATTTTTTAATTCTTTTCGGAATGTTTATAGCGTTTCGTCTAGGTGCATATTTTTCACTAAGATTTATCAGAAGTAACAGTGGTCGAACTTAATTATTATTTTTGTCTGTTATTATTATTATATGTATATTGTACTTTTGTAAGAAGTATAATGTCATTTTGCAGGCTGTCGATAATTATTTCTTTTCTAAAAACATCGACTTAAATATTATATTTTGTTTTCTATTTTTCTACGGTAAAGTGTAGTGTGTTGTTTTTTGTAATGTAAATATGAATATGAAAACAATTTAATAAATAAAGAAAGAAAGAATAACACCAAGTAAAGGTCATTCAGTATGAAAACATATACTTTGTACACAAATCACGGTGAAAATCAAAAGTATCTTTGTTCACATCTGTATTAGTACACATGTTAGAAATTTATCGATATAAATAAGACAGTGTCTATTTCTTTTTTGAAAATCTTTTTTACTTGAATAAAAAAAGAAAAGAAAAATAGTTATATAACCGTATTTAATAAGAGAATAAAATAAAATATAATGTAACAATAAAATGTTTTAAAAATCAAGCCATGCTTGATCATTTTTGGAACGAAAATATTGCATATGTGTTTGATTAGCAATCCAAAGTGTACCATATTGATCGACGAATTCAAATCTTGTTGGATGAATGATATCTGTAAAAAATTGTACAAGTACTTCACCATTTAAATCTTTGATTTCAATCATTGAATCATCATATACTGAATAATAACGATGAAATGGATCAAGTAAAACAGGTAAACGTGGTAAAGTAGCTTCAAAATGATGTCTTGTCATTGCCCAACCTTCTTGTCGTCGAAGTTTTAATTGTCGATTACCATGCCATAAAACGAGAATATTTTGACAAGCAGTACCAAGAAAATATGGTGCACCACTTGGTGCGCCTGGACATGTATGAACTTGACCGTGAGTTACTGAACCATCTTCATGAATTGATGACATACGACACTATATATATATATATATATATAAAATAAATGAAATTTAAATTCATATTTTTTTATTTTTACTTTATGAGTTTTTGGTTCTAATTGTGTATAGACAATATGTTGTTGTGTAGAATTTATATCAACTTTTGTCCAACGTTCATTTATTAAATAATCATCATCTTCTTCATGAATAGCAATACCTGTTTGTCGATTTGGACTTAAAAATAAATGTTCACCACCACGTACATCAACAAGTATACGTTCAAGTTGACGGTTAAATTTATCTGTCCACATACGTTGTAATAATGGATGTATGACTGGATTACGAAAACGTTCAACTGCTCCACCTTTAAATTCATTATCGACCCAATTACGTGTAGCAACACGACAACGGTATCCATCAGATAAATTATAACATTGACAATGTACATTATTTTTACATGATTGAAGACATCGTGAATGATTGGGAATACAATGTGATGGATTTACTGATGAATGCATAAATGTTGCTGGACAAGCACATGATGATGTACTTGTTTTTGTGCATGGTAACCATGTTTTCATCTATAAAAAAATAAATTATTATATGAATGACTATCTTCTTTTTTTTTT